CAGCCATTAATGAATTAAAACAATTCCGCAAGTTTCACGTTTTAATTTCACAAGCCCTGTATTTCACCAGCCAGCCACACGCAGGTTGGCACTCAAATGCATATGCTGACACCTGTCCGCCCAGGGGAAACATGTGAGCCGAGTAACTGGGCGAAGGGGGCGACGGGTAGGCCGCGGAATTCTCCTAACAGGCGCGTTTCTCTCCACCCCCTCACGCCCGCGAGGACCCCAGCAGGCACGAACGCCCGCCCACATCCCGCTGGGTGGGGGTCAGGCCTACACATCCAAAAGGCCCGTAGAGGTGACTCCGGGAGAACCCCATTCCCGGCAGTAAGAACGCCCTCCCAGATGCGAAAAGCTCCTTGGTGATCCCTCTGCACCTTTCCTATGTCTCCCGGCCCGGGACAGTGGGGAGTGGGACGTCGCTTCGGGTTCCCAAGCCAGGCCCCCAGGATCCCGGCAACTAGAAGACCCTGCCAGCAGGCAATACCCACCCGACCGGCGGCGGCGGCTGGCGGACGGCCGCCCTTTTAAATCCCCGGGCTCATTTGCATGGCTCCGCCCTCTCAGTGACACGGCTGGCGCGGGCGGGCCCGTCCCCCCTGCCCCTGGGTCGCTCTTTTTAAGCTCCCCTGAGCCGGGGCTGCGCTCCTCTAATTGGGACTCCGAGCCCGGGCTATTTCTGGACCTGGCGCGGCTCCAAGAAGGCGTGAGTTCGCGGCCCCTCCGGTGGCTTCTTCTTTTTATATCTATAGGCTTCAGTTTTAACACCTGTAAAATGGGGGAAGAGCATTACTAACCTGGTAGGGGTGTTAAGGGACCTGAGAGCACATATGTATTTAGTATGTGCTCATCAAGTCAGGTTTTTCCAAGGTTGAAGAGGAGCTGGGCTTTATAACTTTCAGCCCTGATGAAGGAGGCTGATCAAGTCCATGGTGTCCTGGGGCCATGCCAGGTGGGTGACTGGCTCAGGTTAGCGCAGCAGAGAGGTGTCTGCCTCATGGGCCCTATTATTCAGTGGAGAGGTTTTCCCTCAAAAGTTGCAAGTAGAAGAGGTCCTCCTCCCAGTCTAGGCCTGATTGTGCCAGATGACCAGATGCACTAGCAGCTGGGTGACTCTCTAGGAGAGTGGGCAAACATTGCCCCAGGATGACCCTATATTTGGCTTGGCTGGGTCAATCTGGTTGATATGGTCCTGGGTCAATCCCAGTTGAAATGGGCCAGGTCAGGTCCATGTCCACTGTCTGGTTATAACTACTAATAATACTCCCTTTTACTCTTAAGTGTCCTCCTTGTCTGTAATAGCTGGGCATACACATCCTATGATCCAGGAATTCCTCTCCTAGGTGTGTACCCAGCAGAAATTTGCACAACCACTCACCAAGACATATGCTAGAACATTCACAGCAGCGTTATTTATAATAGCCCCAAACCAGAAACTACCCAAATGCCCTTCAACAGAATGGATGTATGAACTGTGGTACATTCACATCACACAACTATGCAGCAATGAGAATGAACATTCTGCAGCCACACGCAACAACACAGGTGAATCTCAGCCATAATGTTGAGCAAAGGAAATTAGCCCAGGAGAGTATGAAACATGTGATTCCACCCAAACAATGCACATAAAAGGTGGAACTGAAGAACACTGTAAGTTGGGATGGTGGTTACATAGAGGGGGCTGGAAATATTTCTTGATCTGGGTGGCTGGTGACACATGTTCACCTAATAAAACTGCAGAGCTGAACACAGGATCTGTGCATTTTCTGTATTACAGCTTTCATCAGTAACAGGTTTACCCTTAAAAATATCCTGATTTGAGCAAGAGGTTAAACAATTTCTCTTTCTCTTCTGCTCACCTCCTTCCATCTATACTTTCCATATAGAGCTGGACACACAGAACACTGTCAGACCTTATCCCTATGCTTTTTGGAAGACCTTGACTAACCCAACCACTAAATGGAACCTTCACACTGGCCCTGCCCTCTACTCTTCCAAGAGCTGCAGTTGACTGAGAAGAGGGAAACTGATAAGCAAATATGCTGAATAGAAATTTGTAGTGAGACATGAATCCCCAGGGAATGCTGTAGGACACCCCAACTAACCTCTACCATTTCCAAGCTACAACTGGGAGACTGTCAGGCTCCTGATGCTCCACTTAGCAAGGCAGGAAAGGGACTAACACATCAGGAAGAACTTCAACAGCCCAGATGAAAATGAGCTTAGCCTTCAGCTGTCCTGAAGACTAAAGTTGACCTAAACTCCCGATTTCCTGAACATTCCTGTTGGGTTCATTTAAGTTCACTGGGTTGTCCTTGTGGAAACTGTGTAACCCAACTCTGACAGTAAGAAAATGCTTCCTATGGGAAGACTGGTTCTGACATGCTCAGTTCCCTGGTACCAAGCAGGCCTTGACCAGCCTGGTTGATGTCCCAGGTCTAGAACAACTCCTTCTCCCTGCCTGCTGCCTATAGCCCTGCATCCAGGCACCCACCTATCCAAATCTCATCAAGGTCTACTCAAGCCCATCTCCTCCAGGGGACTTCCCCGACTACTCAGAGCTCCCATCCTCTTCTCCTTACAGCACCTACTAACTCTCTCTTCAAGCATCTGACTCCCTAGTCTAAGTTTCATGAGTACCAGGAACTTGACTTGTTCACTGATTGTACTCCAAGAGTTTGGACTAGTTCTTGGTACATAGCAGGCCCTCAATAAATAATGCACAAATGAATGCTTTTTGCCTCATGGCATCACCCCAATTGTTGTTCAGCTTTCTCTGGTGTCTTCCTGGTTCTGATGCTTTTAGACGTGAAATCTGCTGGGGCAAGGACTATGTCTTATTCATCTTTTTATTCCCTACTACTCATCCTTCTGCTTAGTAAATACTTACTGAAAGAAGAAAAAAGGAAAAAAAATGAATTTAGGGCATTTGCAATCCAGAAAGCACAGAGGTGGGGGTCAGTGGGTAGAATTATTTGGATTTCAAGGGCGTGGGTAATCCAGGAGAGGAACAAGCTACTGTATTTGCCTACAAATTTTTTTATACCTGCCTCTTTCCAGAGAGGTTTGAGGTGGTTTATAAAAATACACATATAATACAAGGTAAAAAACAAGACGGTGAGGAAATCAGGACAAGAGGAAAATAAGAGTAGGAAAAATAAGATTAAGAAAGCCTGTCAGAAGTGGGCCAAAAAGTTGACCAAGTTTTCCCAAGCCCACTTAGAGGCAGAAGTCTCTTTCCCTTCCCCACCTCCTTTTCAGGGACAGCCACAGGCCACACCAGCGCAAGGAGAGCTGCCCTGAGGTCAGCTGCGTCCAGAGCAGGGGCCTATAACGACCCTCCCCATGCCTCCCTGGCAGTCTGCCCCAGAGCTCAGGCCTGGAAACCTAGGCGGCCTTGGGGAGGGCTGTGTCTAAGGGGCACATGGCTCTGCGAGGGCTGACCCTGGCCCAGAAGTAGGGCCTCTGGATAGCTGGCAAGGGTCTTGCCCTAAGGGGAGTAGGGTAGGAGCTGAAGGATCCTTCTTCCACTCAACGCTGCAAAGGTTCTCAAGTTAGCAACCCAACGCCTTCCGGCCAACTCCACTTGCGGCCTACTAAGCGCGCGCTCAGCCCACAGGGCACAAAGATGTGGGGAGCAGCGCGCCCTCCACCCTGCCCCACCCCCACCCACCCGCTCCAGACAAAGGAGCAGGCCGCCCCTCTCACAGCCGCTCCCTTGTATTCCCCCTCCGCCGTTCTCTCCCTCCAGGCCGCCCTTTGGTGACTTTTTCTCCCCTCCAGGGGCGGCCTGGGGCTTCTCGGGAACAGCGTTTCACCTGGGCGCGGGGCGGGGAGCCAGCGCGCGGAAGGCAGGCTCACGGCCCACCCTTGGCCCGGCCGTCCGCAGGCCCGCGCCCTCCTCTAAGAACCCGCTCTTCAGGCCCCCAGCACCTTCCCGCCCAGGCTGCCCCGCCCCAGCCCGGCCGAGCACGTGCTGCCCCCGGCCCCAGCGCCAGCCCGCTGCCCTAGGTGGGGGCTGGGCCCACTCCCGGCTCTGCTCCCCACCCCCACCGGAAACATTCCTGAGACATTCCTGAAACTAGGAGGCCCGGCCCCTCTGGTTCCCCACCCCGCCTCCACTCTGGGCTCAGGGTTTTCCTGGCGTCCCCCATTCTCCGCCAGCTCGCCCCCTGAGGAGGGGGCTGGGCCGGGGCCTCGGCTGATCGGGAAGGAAGAAGGGGAGCTAAGAAAAACATGAGTCACTGCCGTGTGTCACTGGGCCACATTGCAATTCCCTGCATCACGGGAGGTGTGGAAGGCCGCCTCGGGATCAGGGGCGGGAAGGTGCGCCCGCGAAGGCCCCGGGCCCGGCCTGCAGGGTGCGCCTCTCGACAGCGCCCTTTCTTCCACCGCCCTCCCCGCCATCATCCCACTTTGGCTTCCTTCTCTGTCGTGCAACAAGTCTTTGTTGAGCCAGGCGCTGGGCGGGTGTGGCGTGCGTAGACTCGGTCCCTGCCCTCAAAGTGCTTCCAGGCAACCACTGGCTTACGTTTTCTTATTTTTTTTAAAGTCAAAGCGGAGGAGGCCACGAAGTGGGACCGCGTCTCCAAATACCGTCCAGGTCACCTAAGGAATGAATTTTCCCTGCGGTTTACCTGCAAACGAGCCCATCGTTGGTTTCGCTTGCAGGCGCAGGCAGCACCTTATGGTTCGCTCGCAGCCATTAATGAATTAAAACAATTCCGCAAGTTTCACGTTTTAATTTCACAAGCCCTGTATTTCACCAGCCAGCCACACGCAGGTTGGCACTCAAATGCATATGCTGACACCTGTCCGCCCAGGGGAAACATGTGAGCCGAGTAACTGGGCGAAGGGGGCGACGGGTAGGCCGCGGAATTCTCCTAACAGGCGCGTTTCTCTCCACCCCCTCACGCCCGCGAGGACCCCAGCAGGCACGAACGCCCGCCCACATCCCGCTGGGTGGGGGTCAGGCCTACACATCCAAAAGGCCCGTAGAGGTGACTCCGGGAGAACCCCATTCCCGGCAGTAAGAACGCCCTCCCAGATGCGAAAAGCTCCTTGGTGATCCCTCTGCACCTTTCCTATGTCTCCCGGCCCGGGACAGTGGGGAGTGGGACGTCGCTTCGGGTTCCCAAGCCAGGCCCCCAGGATCCCGGCAACTAGAAGACCCTGCCAGCAGGCAATACCCACCCGACCGGCGGCGGCGGCTGGCGGACGGCCGCCCTTTTAAATCCCCGGGCTCATTTGCATGGCTCCGCCCTCTCAGTGACACGGCTGGCGCGGGCGGGCCCGTCCCCCCTGCCCCTGGGTCGCTCTTTTTAAGCTCCCCTGAGCCGGGGCTGCGCTCCTCTAATTGGGACTCCGAGCCCGGGCTATTTCTGGACCTGGCGCGGCTCCAAGAAGGCGTGAGTTCGCGGCCCCTCCGGTGGCTTCTTCTTTTTATATCTATCATTTAATTAAATTATTTATTTATTGAGGCCGCGCACGGGCCGTGCCTAGCTTCCTGCCCCTCGCCATTCTCCGGGGGAGAGGGAATATTATTGTCCCCCCGCCTGGATGTGACATATAAATACCCGCGGGGGCCTGGGCGGTGAGCACGAGGCGTCGGCGGTCTCTGAGCGCCTCTGCTCTCTCCCGGTTTCAGATCCGCATTTGCTACCAGCGGCGGCGGCGGAGCCAGGCCGGTCCTCAGCGCCCAGCACCGTCGGTCCCGGCAGCCCGGAGCGCGCACTGCAGGCCGGCGGCCGAGCTCGCGGTGAGTCGTCCCCGGGGCCCGGGGCCCGCGGCGGTGGAGGGGGCGCCCGCACCCCCGCCTGCTCGCCGCTCGGGGCTGCAGCGCGCGCCTCCGGCTTTATTCCCAGGCCGGGCTGTGCGAGCCGCCGGCAGGGGAGGGCCGCGCGGCGCGGGGGCGGGCAGTGGGGCCCGGCAGAGCCGGGAGGGCGTCCGCACCCCTTCCCCCGCGCCGCGGGCGCCTTGCGGGGGGCGGGGACCTGGGAAAGGCGCGCGGTGGGGGAGGGGGTGCGCGGTTGCGGCGAGCGCGAGTTGTGCACCCGGCAGAGCCCGGTGCACCTCGCGCGGCCACTGCTCCCGCCCCAACCCGAGTCCGGGCCCGGGGCGTGGGGACGGGGAGAGTAGCCGGCTGCGGCGCAGCGGGAGAGTGGGGGATCGGGCGCTCCCCGCAGCCTAGGGAAGTTCTAGAAGTAAGGGGGATGGGCAGGAACCCCGCAATTGGGCTCTACCGCCGCTCGGCCTTACTCTTGCTGCCCCCTCCGCAGATGAGGCCGAGTCGCGGGCCTGGGTTTAGGTCTTCACTCCGACCCCAGTTCTGGCCGGGCCCGTGCTTCTTCAGCCCCCAGGGCCGGGCCTGCCCTCCGCCCCCTCAAACTGGTTTCTCTGCTTTGCTGGGCTCTGTTGGAACTAGTCGCCTTAACTCCCCGTTTCTATTTTTTTTTTTCCGGGGCTTTATTTTGCGGGGAAGGCAAAGAGGGAGGTGGCTTTCTTCCTCTCCCCCGCGCCCGCGCGCACACCAGGTTTCCTGCCCCAAGGCGGGCTTGGGTGCCCCCTCTGGCAGGAAGTGGGGCCGGGTGCACCCGCGTGGCGGTGCATGCGGTCGGGGTGCACTGGTTTCCCGCGCCTGTAGGAGCGGCTTGCGCCCCTCCCCCTGCGTGCTCTTGGCCCCCTAGTCCCGCCAGCTAACCTGCAACCGCCCGGCGCAGACACTTGCAGAGTCACCCTGCGGTCGGGTCTGGAGCAGGGTGCGACAGGGACCTAACCAGACTCCAGGTGGGTTATCAAGCAAAGTGGAGGGCTTCAAGGTTCTAGGAACCTATTCTTCCCTGCTCACTAACTTGCTGTGTGACCTTGGGCAACTCACCAGGCCTCTCTGGGCTACTTTTTCTTTTTTTTTTTTGAAACAAGGAGCCGCGTGATTATTTTTAAAGGTCATTATTGTAGGTTCTTTAAGCAGTTTTGGGGCACACGTTGCATGCACGGTGTAAGGAGGGGACAAGCTTGAGGCCCAGTAGGGCTTATTACAAACTGAAGGATTGAGGTCGGGCCTTAAACTTGGCTTCCCCAAGCAAGGCCTCACCGATGTTCAGAAACAGGTGGAAGAGACAAGCATTTGTTGGTCTCACCAGCGAGAGCCTCAGACCTTCTTCATTCAGTTTGTAGAGGCCTTATTACAGGGTCCCCAACAGCAAGAGGTGGGGAGAAGCACTAGATGATCCAAGAACTTTTGGGGAGACCCACCAGGATCCCCAGGCAAGCTGGGCCCATGCTTTCTGGGATTAGGGGCTGGCTTCCACCGGCTAGAACCCTCTCTGAAGACGCCTCTGGCAGACCTCATGTGAGGTCAGCGCTCATTTAGCTGATTAATTTTGATGTTTAGTTTGAAGGGGAACCTGTGGTATAATATAAGATTCTAATCACTGGCTGTAATTACAGAACAGGCCAAGCCACTAATGATGGAGTGGGATAAATCACCAGCCACCTTATATAAAAGGGTCTTCCAGTCTGAAATATAAAATAGAATAATTACCAAAGTCCTGTGGTCTGGAGCACTTAAGTGCTTGAGGATAGTATCTCAGGCTCTCCAAGTCACAAGTTTGCAAAAATGTGTTTTTTCTGTTATTAGGTTAGAATTGGAAATTGTCTAAAAATCTGAAAAGGGGAAAGAAAATTTTCAAATGTTCTGGTCCTTGTTTTGACCTAAGATTTCCCACTGTTTAAGCATTTTTAATGTGTCTGGTTTGATCCATGCAGCAGTCTGGACAGGTAGTTGTGGCAGATACCTTATCATTATCCCATTTTACAGATTGATGGGCTTTCAGAAATGGAACCACTTGGGCCCACCTTTTGCCAAGGACAGCCAGGGATTGGTTACCAAGGATGTGTGGAGCTTTGGGTCTCCCAGGTCATGTCTATGTCTGTAACTTTGGGACAATAAGTGGGAGAACAGGGATGGAGACCGGGGGATCCTCATTGTCCTTTGTAAGTCTCTAGAAGAGGCTCTGAAATACAGGGTGCAGGTGTTCCTTGGAGCAGGAGGTTTTAGGAAAACTTAAAATTTGGAGAGTTTTGAAACCCAACCAGGCCTCTAAAAAGAGGGAAGATGCTGGAAAAAATCAAGAAGCTTTTAGGGTCGGTCCTTGCCTGGGCTCCAGGGGGCTGGCTAGCCTCTGTTAGAAGGGTCCATCTCAGAGAAATCTCTACTACTCCTGTAAACAGGCATCAAAGAGAAGGATCTCAGCTGACTGTAGCAGGGCAGGGTGGGGGTGAGGGAAAGAGGAGACCCACCTTTTAGCTTTGGGTTCCTTTTCCTCCCCACCTCACCTGTTGCAGTTTCTGCCATCTTCCCCCTTCCCAAATTGTCTCCATCTTTGAATCCCCGAGGCTTTACTTAAGGAGGGAGCAAAGGGCAGAACTGATGAGGGTGGGCACCAACCCTGGCCCAGTGGTGGGTGTGGATTGTCACTGTTGGCCCTTATAGCTTGGGCCTTGGCAGATAGGCAGTACTGTGGTGAGGTGGGCTGGGGATCGATGCCCATGACTGTCAGGTGTCATTTTCTCTGCTTACCTTTCCTCTCTGTGAGCTACCCAGCCTTGGTTTCTCTTAAAGAGAAGGGGCAACTGGCTGGACGGATGGGCCCCTGGCAGTGTGAGGACCTCTGCCACACCCACACCTTTACCTCACCCACAGAGCCATGGTCTGAGCTGGCTGTGCCTCTTGGTCCTGGGCCCTGTGGGGGTGGCTGGACAACAAAGAACCCTTCTGAGCTGGAGATAAGGAGCTGATTAGGGCCAACGGCCCAGCCCCGCCCTGTGGCAGCGTGCTGGGCCTGGGCAGACCACCCCCTCAACCCCGGGCAGGGTGGGAAACCTGGGCTCCCCTGGGAACAAGCAGTTTCCTGCACTGCTTGGGTGGTGAGGGGGTCAGAGGTGGCTGAAGCAGAATGTTTCGTTTAAAACAATTTTTTTCCTGCCGCCTCCCAGCATCCTAGCCATTGCTCCTCCACCTGCTCCACAGAGAAGGGAAGATGAGCGAGTCAAGCTCAAAGTCCAGCCAGCCCTTGGCCTCCAAGCAGGAAAAGGACGGCACAGAGAAGCGAGGGCGGGGCAGGCCGCGCAAGCAGCCTCCGGTGAGTCCCGGGACAGCGCTGGTAGGGAGTCAGGTGGGTGTTAAAATCTTTGCCTTGGTTTATTTATCCCTTTGGGCTAGGGAGGTGACAGGCATCTCAGCAGGTGAAAACAGGAATGAGGGGTGCAGAATCATTATGCAGAGTGCGGTATGTATGTGTCCTCTCCAGATAAGCCCACCTACCCTGCACACACTGACCCTGTCAGTTCCTACTGAGGCTCTGGGAGAGAAGTGGACGCTGAAGAACTCCATGCTAGCAAATACAAGCAGGAAGGGACCCTGTGGTCCTGCAGACCAGTGCTTACACTGTGGTAAACCATCCACCCTTTATTTCTAGTCCATCATGGACAGTGCATTTCTAAAGTGCAATAAAGGTGAATTACAGAAACATGAAATACATATATACATACAGGCCTGGGGATTTTGTTACATCCATTGCATATAACATTACTATCAACTTACTGTAGAAGCTTCTAAATACTTACTGTCCGTTTCTGTACTTCCTCATCCCAGACCAGTAGCAAAAAATTCTGGGCCAGCACCTGTTCCTGGTCCTCACTTAGTTGCCTTGGGCTGTGCTTTGCTCCTGGCTCTGTAAAAGGAAATCCCAAGAGGTTGAAAGTGGCAGAGAGTTGGTGGCAGAGTGACCCTCAGAACCTTGGTGCTGTCCCCTCATCAGGTCTCATGGGGTCGGAAGGCCAGCTTGGCACTGTGGGCACCCTAGGGAACATGGCCTATTGGGCTGTGCAGCACCTGTTAGGTGGCAGAGGACCTGGGTTTCCCTCAGAGGGGCAGCTGCTGGTAAGGCCCTTCACTCCCAGTCACTTCCCTTTCCTGGGAAGGGGAGAGGAATTGAGGTCCACTCTTGACCTTTACCAGTAGGCAGGCTATTACAGGTGAGGCCTCAGGCTTTTCCCCATCTGAGAGGGAGAGAGTGGGCTGTACTGACTTCAAGAGATGTGAGCCACGCAGAGTCAAGTGAGGGTGCAATTCATCTGATTGTTTCAGGACCCACAGTGTGTGTGGAGGGACTCATCCTTCCCTTAGTCTGGTTTCCTTGGCTGCCTCCCTTCCCTGTCAGCTGGGGTCAGTGGTGGGGGGTGTCAGAGAAGGGGTGTAGGCTTATTGGACCAGGGTTATAAAGGGCTCATGGGCAGCCACACCCTGGAAACCCGTAGTTGAGGTGCCTTTATTGCCCACCTTCTATGCGTTATCCAGCAGCTTTTTATTCTTACCCGGGCTTCCTAAAATTTCAGTGGCAACAATGGCAGGGATCTTGGGTTCTGAAATCTGGGAATAATAATTCTCCCTGGGAGGCAGCCTGGAGGGAGAGTCCAGTTTGCAGGTAGAGGCTGGAGGCTCCCTCTGTGGGAGGGAGTTCCTTTCCCCTCATCTGCATCCCCCGTAGTCACCAGCGTGTCATTGGAGGGGGTAGACCATGGTCATGGCCCTGTGCTGGACACTTAAACATTCTTCATTTAATTTTCATGATAACCCTGCAAGGTAAGTCCTGTCACCATGTACAGATGCGGAAACGGGCTCAAGCATTAAATAAATGTCTTGCCCCAGATCTTAGTGCTCATCAGTGGCAGAGCTGCCTGATGGTGTCTTTCTACCCTGTGACACTTGTCCCAGGGGTCTTCCGGCCTCTAGTCATTTTGTTGTCACAGGGAAGCAAGGGGCAGGGCTTTGCTAGAGATGGTCAAGCTAAGAGCTTGAATCCTGACAGTTTGCCTGCCAAGGCTCCTGTGGGTTCCTGGGGAGCAGTGATGGCTTGCTGACTTCACCCCAGTGGGGTGAAGAGCAGAGGGCTGTTTCGTGAAAGGGGTGGGACAAGTGGCATCTGTGTTCCTGATTGCCCATCTGTCTTTGCAGAAGGAGCCCAGTGAAGTGCCAACACTGAAGAGACCTCGGGGCCGACCAAAGGGGAGCAAAAACAAGGGCGCTGCCAAGACTCGGGTGAGGCTGGAGGTGGGGAGGTCTGGGAAGGGGCTGGCTTGTCTTGATTCTGTGGCCCATTCCCCTGGCAGACAGCTAGTGATGGGTCTTCGCTAATTGGGGAAAGTGGGGTGATGACTGATAGCTCACTTCTGGAGCCTTCGTTCTGCCCAGAACAATGGGGAAATCAAGTGAGAAGTTCTACATACAGCTTCCGTGGCCTGAAGAAAGGCAGCTGGGAAGAGTGAGGAGGGCCCTGGGTGGAGAGTGTGCGTTTATTCCACAGCCCCCTGGACCTTGAGGGGGTGGGATAAGCAGGGAAGGCCCAATTCACAGTGGCATCAGCCTGTCAGAGAAGTTTTGTTTTTTATTTTTTTCTAAGACACGACTCATATCCTCTGAGTCATGGGTGGAGGAGGGAGTGGGGGGCGTGTGTGTATGTTGGGGGGGCGCAGTGTGGCTAGCCAGTCATCACCAGCTGGACTCGGGTGGGCCTGCCTCCCTGCTTGCCCTCACCAACTGGGGCACTGGGCATTGGATGAGCACCACTGGGTACATTTTTGACTCAGTGGGGTTTTTTTCTCTGACCATCTAGAAAACCACCACAACTCCAGAGAGGAAACCGAGGGGCAGACCCAAAAAACTGGTAGGTGAAGGGGTGGAGGCTGCTTGGCTTTTCTGCGGGTGTTAATGGGTCTGGGGATGGTGTTAATGGGCAGCCCTGCTCTATGCACCCACTGTGGAAAAATGGCTCTATGGTGGGCCATCCAGCTTCACTCAGGCATAGAGGGGAAGGGATTTGCGCAGCACCCGGGCTTCTGGCATCTAGCTAAGGGCTTTTAAAGGGCTGTGTCCATGATAAATAAGTGGTCCCAGGTACAACCAGACAAGACCCCTTGGCCTAGTTGGAAGGGTTCCCTACCTCTCTTTCCTGTGGACAGATTCAGAACTTCCGAGCAGACTTGGAGGTCATCTAGTCTGCCTTCCTAATACAAATTAGGAAAGGATGCCGCACTGGGAAGGGGTGAAGTTTGTCCTTGATCTTGGGGAGGGGAGGGAGGAAGCAACAGCGAAGGACCTCAGCTTGTGGGGGGGAGGGAGGGGCAGTCATTGAGTTGTGATCTCACAGGGAGGCCGCATCCTCTTCTGGACCTCCAAAGAGCTCATAGTTGGAAGTAGGTGGGCTGCTTCAGGGGACTGCCTCTGGGGGATGCACTCTATCTAGTAGGGCTACCCCAGCCTTCCTCCTGGCCCTGTCCTGCCCCCAACCTGCTCCCTGAACTCCCTGAGGCTTTCATTCCTCGAGCTGAGCCACCACCAGGGTGAGGGGGGATAGGGGGTGCTGGCCAGGCCCCAGGAGTGAGTAACAGGAAACAAGTTGTTTTGGAGTTTGTGCCTGGCACGGGGGCCCCATGTGGTGTCCCAACATTCCCGCCCAGTGAGTGAGCCCCGGCGGCACACACTTCCCTTTCCTCCCCGCCCTGGCCTGGGGTCAGCTCACTCCACAACCCAGCAGCTGCCCCTGCAGGCCAAGGCCACCTGGTTCCCCTGTACCCACCAGGGCGGTGCTCATGCACCCTGCAGCCACCCCTTTCCTTCCCATGTCCTCTCCTGGCCTCTCCCCTCCTCCCCTGTGAGGCGCCTGTCACTTCCTGGGGCTCAGTACTGCACTGGGCTCTGCCCAGTACCCCAGCCATGAGCCCAGGGGCCAAGGGGCCTGGCTTAGTGTGAGAGCAGCATGTGTGTGGTTTTTTTCCCTCCCTTTAAATTACTCTTTTTTATGAATGAAACTGGGCTGTGGAGGTTGCTGAGTCACCCACACACTCAGCCCTGACTCATCCCCCTTCTGGAGAGCCAGGACTTGCAGGGAGGGGTGGGGGCGAGCCTGGCCTTGTGCCCCATGGCCCCCAACAACTCAGGGTGGAGGGCGGGTAGAGGAGGAAGGGTCGGCAGTGGGCACTCCTGCTGATGGCCCCACTCCTTGGCAGGAGAAGGAGGAAGAAGAGGGCATCTCGCAGGAGTCCTCAGAGGAGGAGCAGTGACCACTCGTGCCGCCTGCACCCTCATCAAGGAGCAGTTTCCTTCTGGGACTGGACAGCTCCGCTCCCACTGCCCCCGCCCCTTCCCCCAGGCCCACTCGTCACCACCACCCACCTGTGCCCTCACCTCCACACTACACAGCACACCAACTGCTGCAGGGCCCTCGGGGCCAGTGGGGAGCAGTTTCTCTTTGGTCCATTTCCAGCGATGCCTCCTCCATGTGCACACACTTGCCCTCCAGGTTAAAGCTGACCTCCTGGCAAGTCGCCCTCTGCACCTATTGCCACCCCATTCCCTTGGTGGTGGGGACATTGCTGACTGGGCTCTTGGTTTGAGGGTCTCTTCTCCCCCCTCCTCTTCCCCCTGGCTTCCCATTAAGGGGCCTAGGAGGGCCCCCTGGCCTTAAAAGGGGTCCAAGCCCCATCTTGTCCTGATATGCCTCCCCCAACCCCACTGGCAGCAGGTGTGGCCAATGGAGAGGGGTGTTTAGCCCCAGTATGCTCCCAACTAGCCCATCTCTTGCCAGGTGTGGCTCACACCCACTTTCCTTCCTTCCCCACCTTGCCTAATACCCACACTAGGTTGACACCCCTCTGTGGAGCAAAGAAAGGAAGGCAGGAGGTGTTTGAGCCCCCTACTGCTCTAAATGGGCTCCAGCCCACCTTTCCCTCAGCCTGGAAATCTATTGCAATGATGGAAATGCAGTATCCTTTTATCCAGGTGAGGCCAGGAGGCCCAGGTTCTTTGTGGTAGCCACCCAAGGTGGGCTGGCGCCACTCCTCAACCCTATCTGCTTCCTCTAGGCCTGTTTCTCCTTTCCTCACATGGGGCACAAGCAACAAGGAGCTAGCCTTGCCCACTCCCAACCTTCTGCTCCTCCCCACCCCCCAAGGTTCTGGTTCCATCTTTCCTCTGTTCACAAACTACCTCTGGACAGTTGTGTTGTTTTTGTTCAATGTTTCCATTCTTAGACATCAGTCATTGCTGCTGCTAACCAGCGCCAAACGTTCATCCTCATTGCCTCCTGTTCTGCCCATTCCTCCTCCTCAGAGATGCTCTTAGGGGAAGGGGCCTGGGGCAAAGCAGGCTGGGTTACCGACTACCCCAGTCCCAGGGAAGGTGGGGCCTTGCCCCTAGGATGCTGCAGCAGAGTGAGGGGGGGCCTATGTCAACCGTCTAGGGTGTAGGGGTCACCTCCCCATTCTGCCTGGGAGGAGGTTGCCATTATTTGTCCCAGCCTGGGGCCCCCCCTGTCTGGTTTCCTTTTGCAGTTACTTGAATAAAAAAAGTATCCTTTTCTGGACCTGAGTCTTTCTGTGGTGGGTGCCTGGGGTAGGTAAGGGTGGAAACCAAGGATCTAGCGGGAGGGGGCCACTTTGGAGGTGCTCTGCCTGGAGGGGGAGGGAGAAAAAGCACTTGGAGTCAGCTTAAGGGAAGGTAATTCAGGCCCTTCTTGAAGAAATCAGCCACACCCCTAGCCACAAAACATTTTATTTATAAAATATGTATACTGAATACTGTACATCAGGCCCTGTCACCGTGGGAACAGCTCTGAAGCAAAGTGAGTGGGGGAGTAGGGGCTAAGAAAGGGGACTGCAGAAAGGGAAAGGTCCATCTCCCAGCCACCTTCCCCTGTCCTGTGCCTGGGACTGTGTAGGTAGGTTCACTCCACAAAGCTGAAGGTCCAGGGTGTGTGTGGGGGGGTGCTTTGATGTTGGAGGCTGGCTGCTATGCAGGAGCCTAGGAGAAGGGAGCTTCTGGGGATGGGTGGAAAGAGGGATGGGAGACCCAGTACCCAGAAGAGAAGCTGGGTGAGAGCAGCGGGAGGGAAGCAGCAGGCCACAGGGCCCTGGGCAGTCCAGAATCCCATGGTTCTGAAGACCAGGGCAAGGGGGTCTGGTCACGTCTTGACATCCAGCAAGGGTATCCGCTTGTGCTGGTAGCCACTCTGCCAGCTGTGTACCACCTGTGGGGTTCGGTGAGAGAGCTCAGGGCTGGGCTCTGGCCCCTGGGAGTGCACTCAGCCTTGGGGGAGGTGCGGCACTCTAGTCACTGCCAGATGAGGAGGCTGAGGGCGGAGGTGTTGGGTGAGTGACGGTGAGAACAGGGAAAACTGCCTCTGCTGATTCTCCCTGTTCCCAGAGTGCTCACCTTGGGGTCTCCCACATCAGAGAGCAGCTCCTGCTCAGCCTCGTGCAGCTCCTCTGCAGGGTCATAGCTGTACATGGGCAGCAGGTGATGGCGAAGTCGGTCCACCCTGGGGAGCACGGTAGGGGGCTCAAGCCAGGAGGCCCACTCCCTTCAAACATCTGACTACCCTGTCTCCACTCCCCCAGGCAGGGCCACCTCCAGTGAGCGCTTTTCAGAGCACACCAGGGTTCTAACATATGCCTGGTTCTATAATGGGCCTCTCTCCAGTGGGTAGGCTGGGTCTGGGCAGGCAAACCTAATGAGGGTGTGTATAGAGTTTCAGACTTGTTATACAGATGGCTGAGGCAGTATCACGTATGCAGAGAACTGATCCTATGGGAAGAAATTTAAACGATGCAGGGGAAAGGACTGGGGGAAGGACACTCACCGCTTTTTCTTCTGGACATACATTATCTGAAACAGAGACACAGCACTGTGGAGGCTGCTGAGCCCACAAGCAAGAGGGACCCACCTCTACACCATCCACTCCCATAATAGCAGGACCGCTGAGATGATATGCACAGGCTGGGCCAGGCCCACCCAGCCCTGCCTTAGCCAAGGTGTGAGTGTATATGTGGGGCTCCTTACCACAGCCACCACTGCCCCGACCAGGGTGATGAGGAGGAAAGGCCCCAACACATAGCCCACCATGGAGTCACTGTTGGTCTGGGGGGCACTGGGCACTGTGGTGTTACTCATGGCATCGGCCGCTGGAGAGCCAGGTAGTCAGCATGGGCAGCGGTGCCTCGGGAGGGCGCCTCCACTGGGCTCCCTGGGGAGGAGAAGAGAGATTACTGATTTTACCCAGGGTGACATCCAGCCTCTGTGTCACACCCAAAGGCTGGTGATGTATGGAAACTTAAGACACCGGGACAGGGATCTTCCATGTCAATGTGCTGGGTTTAAGCCTCCAGTGACTCTCAGCAAATCCTGAATGTACAGGGTACTGTGGGGAGGCTCAGACCCAGGGCCTGAGTCTTGCCCAGGTCCTATCCCCAGATCAGTGTGGGGCCCAGCTCCGGTGCTGGCCAAACATGTGCAGATCTCAACTCCTGGAAACAGGTTAGGTGCAGGTTTCTAGCTCCTACCCAACTTCTTGGGGCACTGTGCTGCCTGAGGTAAACATATGCGGGTCCTGCACAGTGGCCTAGGAGGTGAGGTAGGAGCATTTGGAGGAGTCAGCCCCAGTTCTGGTACAATCTCCACACTTCAGGCTATAAGCCCTGTGCCCTCCTTGTCCCTGGTGTCACTGCAGGTATGTAGCCTGGTCACCTTCTCCCCCATTGGCCTCGTGCCAAGGTACACACAAGTGGGCAGGGCTGTATTGTATCGAGGTGATGTCACCTTCTGATCGCCACCCGGGGCTCCGCCCAGGTCCCTCCCCTCCTGGCTTGGGCTGACAGGCGAAGATGGAGAAAGTCAGTTCCCATCGACAGATGTAAGGAGATTGTCCACTGGCGGCTGCATGCAGATCCAAGGTCCCTGACCTAGTTCGCCCAGGTCTCCATCAGAGGGCAAAATATGAGCTCCTGTCCCGGTGTCCGTGGTGGCACCGGGCTTGGCTAGTCACATGCAAAGCGCCCCACAGTCTAGGGGACATGCCCAGACTGTCAAGCCGCTCCTAGGATGCCGACCCGCAACAGCGGGCGGAACGTAGTTCCCACGGTGCTGTGAGGCTCGGGTCGCGGGAGGGGACCTTGGGGGGCTCGGAAATCTTGGAATCCCGGCACCCCGAGGCGTGGACCCGTGCAGGCACTCCGCAGCCCATCCGACCCAGCCATACCTTACCTCCCGCCGCTGCAGCCGGAGCAGGAACGCCCTCCGTTGGCTCCCGGGCCCCGGAAGAGCCAGCAGGCGCGTGATCAAAGGACCCGGGGAGATGGGCGGGGCCTCAGCGCTCGGGTGCAGCCAATCCAGTGGTGGAAGGCGGCCTGCCCGGAGACTTCTCGAGTTGCAAATCTGGAGGCGGGCGGTGCGGTGGCAGTGACGGCCCGGGTTGCAAGGTCTATTTCGCGACGGCAGGGGGCAGCAGAGGGCTGCACAGCGGGGGGAGGAGAGCGCGTGGGGAGGCGGGGCGCGCGCGGCTTCCCAGAGTTCCCCAGGGCTCAGATTGCGGGAACCGGCCCAGCGTTGTCCTCTTTTGCCCGTAAGGTTGGAACCCAGGTAAAGGGCCAAGCCACGACGTAACATTTAGCCCTGGCATGTGGCAACTGGCCGTCCCAGCCTCCACGGCAGGATCCGGCCTCCGGCCCACAGGATTCCACTCCAAGCCTCCTAGCGCAGATTGGCCTTCTGGGCTGTGCTCAGAGAGTAGAGTTGGCAGGACTGGGTTAGCTCCTGCCCAGCCATTGGACCACCTGCCCACCAGCCCACCAGCCCATCCACCTTCTCTGCGCCTCAGTATTTAACGCCTGTAAAACAGGCTGCTGTGAAGATTAAATGATTACATGGATAAGGAGCTTAGCACACAGCATGCCCTGCGTTAAAGTCCCCCTAGGTCACAGGTAACTTGCTAACTAGGTACACACAAGTGGGTCGACGCTTTCGTGGTGTGATGATTAAAATGTAGCACACCTCCTGGAGAAACTGAAGTTAAGAGTGGTGAGTTTACCAATGTCAGTATCCTGGTTGTGATACTATACTAGTTTTGCGCAAGTTAGCATTGGGCAAAGTAGGCAAAGTGTACAAGGAATCTTTATTATTTCTTATAATTGTATGTGAACCTACAATTACCTTGACTATGTGTGTACTTATACATAGATGTGTATAGTTTTGTACCAGACCTTCCTCTGTGCAAAAATTACATGCAATTGGGAAAATTCCAGACTGGCAGGTGATGGAAGCTACCTTAGAATGTGAAGGTTGTGGCAGCTGAAGCAGGCTAAGGCCCTTCTGGGTCCTAGGGTGCTACTGGAGATACGTGGATGACCTGGGTCACCTAATTCTTGCCAGAAGCAGCTAATGGCATGGACATGGTTGAGCCACGGGCTCTGGTCTGGCGTCAGTTTCCTCAGGTCCTTCCAGAGAAGGTTGGATGAGGGCAGGTCTGCTGCAGATGACGCAACTGGGAACCAGGGGGCAGGTGGAAACCCTGGCCTCTTGGCTTCAGACACCACCACTGACTGTCATCGGGAATCAGAGATAAAGAGAAAGGAATGACTGAAAACTCCTAGACCTGGAGGCTCCAGGTCAATTTCTTATTTTCAGGCTTTGAAGTCTGGAGAGTAGGAAGACTGCTCATCCCAGGCTTGTATCAGAGTTGAGGGCAGAGGGAAGAGGCCACATCCCCTGCCTCATCTTGCAAGGAAGTGGGGATCAAGTGATAGGAGTTAGAATACAAGCCCCCTTGACTGTGTACACACCTGACTTCTGTCCCCAACTTCAGGGCTTCTGACCATGTTTTGAGGGCCTTCTAGGAGCCAGCCTAGTAGTCTCACTGGCTGGGCCAATGTGTGGGAAATGCCAGAGTCTCAGTGCCAGAAACTCAGCATATTTTTACTTCTATCACTCTTAGGATAGAATACCATTCTGAGCTGGGCAGGGCAGGTAGGATGGCCCCAATTAACAAATGAGTCAGCTGAGGTCCTGAGCAATGCGATGACTTCCCAAGGCCCTTTGTGTGATTAGCAAAGGAAGGCAGAATGGGAAGACATGTGGGCCCCTCTACCTGGACAGCTCTGTGCTGGCAGCAGCTCTAGGGCTGCATTTAAGCCGGGTGTGTTCCTGTAAGGACACTTCAGTTTCCATGAGGGCATCCTGAAGCCCACCCAGGGAACATTCCAGCCCTCTTTGTACCACTGCCACCCCAGGAAGGAGAGAGATAGGGCAGGGCTGAGGCTGGCTGCACTGTGACACTCTGGTCAAGTTTTGACTGTCCCCTTATCCATGCTTCTATGGTTAAGTGGCTGGGCTTATGTATCTACCTCTACTAATGCCTTGCTCATCCTTATGTCGCCCTGCTCTGGCCCACCAAACAAATCATAAAAGCCACACTTGAATAGATCAAATTGTTGACAAGTAATGTAAATTCATTCCAGAATAAAGCTCAAGAGGATTTTGTAGGAATGCCAAAATATCCAGCCTCAACAAGGTTACATTCAGATTGAGTGGCATCCATTAAAAAATGTATCCATAAAAAATAGGCAGGCAAAGAAGCAGGAAAACACAACCTACAGAGGAAATAATCAATTGAAATTTGATCCTGAAATGACACAGATGTTAGATCTAAAGAGGACATTAAAAGTTATAACCACCATGTGCTCAAAAAGTTGAGAGACAAGGAAGATTAAAAAAAAAATGCCCAGACTGTCAAGCCGCTCCTAGGATGCCGACCCGCAACAGCGGGCGGAACGTAGTTCCCACGGTGCTGTGAGGCTCGGGTCGCGGGAGGGGACCTTGGGGGGCTCGGAAATCTTGGAATCCCGGCACCCCGAGGCGTGGACCCGTGCAGGCACTCCGCAGCCCATCCGACCCAGCCATACCTTACCTCCCGCCGCTGCAGCCGGAGCAGGAACGCCCTCCGTTGGCTCCCGGGCCCCGGAAGAGCCAGCAGGCGCGTGATCAAAGGACCCGGGGAGATGGGCGGGGCCTCAGCGCTCGGGTGCAGCCAATCCAGTGGTGGAAGGCGGCCTGCCCGGAGACTTCTCGAGTTGCAAATCTGGAGGCGGGCGGTGCGGTGGCAGTGACGGCCCGGGTTGCAAGGTCTATTTCGCGACGGCAGGGGGCAGCAGAGGGCTGCACAGCGGGGGGAGGAGAGCGCGTGGGGAGGCGGGGCGCGCGCGGCTTCCCAGAGTTCCCCAGGGCTCAGATTGCGGGAACCGGCCCAGCGTTGTCCTCTTTTGCCCGTAAGGTTGGAACCCAGGTAAAGGGCCAAGCCACGACGTAACATTTAGCCCTGGCATGTGGCAACTGGCCGTCCCAGCCTCCACGGCAGGATCCGGCCTCCGGCCCACAGGATTCCACTCCAAGCCTCCTAGCGCAGATTGGCCTTCTGGGCTGTGCTCAGAGAGTAGAGTTGGCAGGACTGGGTTAGCTCCTGCCCAGCCATTGGACCACCTGCCCACCAGCCCACCAGCCCATCCACCTTCTCTGCGCCTCAGTATTTAACGCCTGTAAAACAGGCTGCTGTGAAGATTAAATGATTACATGGATAAGGAGCTTAGCACACAGCATGCCCTGCGTTAAAGTCCCCCTAGGTCACAGGTAACTTGCTAACTAGGTACACACAAGTGGGTCGACGCTTTCGTGGTGTGATGATTAAAATGTAGCACACCTCCTGGAGAAACTGAAGTTAAGAGTGGTGAGTTTACCAATGTCAGTATCCTGGTTGTGATACTATACTAGTTTTGCGCAAGTTAGCATTGGGCAAAGTAGGCAAAGTGTACAAGGAATCTTTATTATTTCTTATAATTGTATGTGAACCTACAATTACCTTGACTATGTGTGTACTTATACATAGATGTGTATAGTTTTGTACCAGACCTTCCTCTGTGCAAAAATTACATGCAATTGGGAAAATTCCAGACTGGCAGGTGATGGAAGCTACCTTAGAATGTGAAGGTTGTGGCAGCTGAAGCAGGCTAAGGCCCTTCTGGGTCCTAGGGTGCTACTGGAGATACGTGGATGACCTGGGTCACCTAATTCTTGCCAGAAGCAGCTAATGGCATGGACATGGTTGAGCCACGGGCTCTGGTCTGGCGTCAGTTTCCTCAGGTCCTTCCAGAGAAGGTTGGATGAGGGCAGGTCTGCTGCAGATGACGCAACTGGGAACCAGGGGGCAGGTGGAAACCCTGGCCTCTTGGCTTCAGACACCACCACTGACTGTCATCGGGAATCAGAGATAAAGAGAAAGGAATGACTGAAAACTCCTAGACCTGGAGGCTCCAGGTCAATTTCTTATTTTCAGGCTTTGAAGTCTGGAGAGTAGGAAGACTGCTCATCCCAGGCTTGTATCAGAGTTGAGGGCAGAGGGAAGAGGCCACATCCCCTGCCTCATCTTGCAAGGAAGTGGGGATCAAGTGATAGGAGTTAGAATACAAGCCCCCTTGACTGTGTACACACCTGACTTCTGTCCCCAACTTCAGGGCTTCTGACCATGTTTTGAGGGCCTTCTAGGAGCCAGCCTAGTAGTCTCACTGGCTGGGCCAATGTGTGGGAAATGCCAGAGTCTCAGTGCCAGAAACTCAGCATATTTTTACTTCTATCACTCTTAGGATAGAATACCATTCTGAGCTGGGCAGGGCAGGTAGGATGGCCCCAATTAACAAATGAGTCAGCTGAGGTCCTGAGCAATGCGATGACTTCCCAAGGCCCTTTGTGTGATTAGCAAAGGAAGGCAGAATGGGAAGACATGTGGGCCCCTCTACCTGGACAGCTCTGTGCTGGCAGCAGCTCTAGGGCTGCATTTAAGCCGGGTGTGTTCCTGTAAGGACACTTCAGTTTCCATGAGGGCATCCTGAAGCCCACCCAGGGAACATTCCAGCCCTCTTTGTACCACTGCCACCCCAGGAAGGAGAGAGATAGGGCAGGGCTGAGGCTGGCTGCACTGTGACACTCTGGTCAAGTTTTGACTGTCCCCTTATCCATGCTTCTATGGTTAAGTGGCTGGGCTTATGTATCTACCTCTACTAATGCCTTGCTCATCCTTATGTCGCCCTGCTCTGGCCCACCAAACAAATCATAAAAGCCACACTTGAATAGATCAAATTGTTGACAAGTAATGTAAATTCATTCCAGAATAAAGCTCAAGAGGATTTTGTAGGAATGCCAAAATATCCAGCCTCAACAAGGTTACATTCAGATTGAGTGGCATCCATTAAAAAATGTATCCATAAAAAATAGGCAGGCAAAGAAGCAGGAAAACACAACCTACAGAGGAAATAATCAATTGAAATTTGATCCTGAAATGACACAGATGTTAGATCTAAAGAGGACATTAAAAGTTATAACCACCATGTGCTCAAAAAGTTGAGAGACAAGGAAGATTAAAAAAAAAACCCAAATTGAATTTCTAGAGATGAAAACTCTAATATCTGAGGAGAAAAATACACTGGATGAGATTAATTACAGCTTAGATATTGCAGGAAAAAAAAAGTGAACATGAAGGCATAGCAATAGAAACTATTCAAAATGAAATTAAAAAACTAGATTTTTTTTTCTCGTAATTACAAGAGCATCATTGATTTGTGGGATAATTTCAAGTGGCTTAATTTATGGGTAATTAGAGGCCCAGATGGAGAGGAAAGAAGGAGGGGACAAAATATTTGAATAGTAATGG